AATTCGTCTCTAATGTGTTTGTCTAGTCTGATTTTATGTATCATTCAAAACAACAGAAAATCTCCTCTTGAAAGTAATTAAGAACGTGTAATTTTAATTTTTTAAGATTCTAAATAACATATTTTCAAAATTAGGTAGGGGAAGGTGGTGCAAGATGGGGTCATGGGGTAAGACGGGGACGTCTGTTTATTTGTGGTTAATGTGCTTTTATCTAGCTGTTATTTGGGGAACTAAATGTCAACCTCAAAAGGGATCATGGGACAAGAGAACATCCAAATCGCTCTCTTTGTTTGGAAGTAAGATACGTTTTTCATGTTTCAGCAATACTTCATCTAATTTTACGCCTGCTAAAAAGTTTCTACAAAGTGTAAGTATCATTGTGAACTTTTACATTACCTTTTAGATAAAGATATTATAGTATTTGAAGTAACCTTTAAGACTGTAATTAGTTTTGAAATGAAGTTTACCTGTGTTTGCAGTCAGTATAAAAAGTGTACGTTGGGGGCAAGATGGAGTACCCGTCTAGCCCCAGGTTGACCATGAATATGGCCTATGAATCCAGAAGTATTTTCAGAGACAGACTTTTTGCTGCAGAAACGAAAAACAGGCCCCTTAAGCAAGGATAGGCCTAACAAGAAACAAAAGACAAATGACACAGAATGCCTCTATTGCGGAGGGTTATACTCTGCATCTACAGAGAGTTGGGCTAAATGTAGCCGTTGTATTAAATGGGCACACTGTTCTTGTGCCAATATTGAAGAAAACGACAGTTTAACCATTTTAATTTGTCCTTCTTGTAGGCCTATATAAAAATAATATCCCAATCTTACCCCATGGGTGGGGCAAGATGGTGCATTTACATATAATTTTAAAATATTAAATTTTCTTGTTTTTAAAACGTTTTTCAAAAATTAAATTTTGTATTATATATTACCAAATGTAGTAGTTGCTGAGAATAAAAAAATTATTGTTCTCATTAAAGTTGTTGCCATCTTATGACTTTTTAAACCTTAACGTTCTCATCTTGCCCCACCTTCCCTAATATGCTTAATATGTTTTATTTTTGTATATTGATGCTTATTCTCAAAATTGATATTATAACTTTTCTGTTTCATAAATGACATGACTGTATTTTTATTAAATAATTGCATAAAAGTATTCTACATTAGTAGAAAATCAAAGTTTCTTGGTTACTTACCTCACAGTAATAATGATAGTCAATGAATAGTAATGTGGTCAAACTCTGACTACATTCCATTATACATTCCAGGATAACACATTACCATTCAATTTGATTATTCTTAAAACTAGAAAATATATTCTTAAAATATCAATAATTTGGCTACATTTATTTCAAGCTACTATATATCTATACAGGAAAGATAATACTCGGTGCTATTATAAGCATAAATTTCATTTGATAAATATTTCAATTTAAATGAAATATTTTAAAAATTCTTCCGTCCTGTATACACTACGAGGGCTTTTTAGCAAGCCCATTATAAGTTCGTCGAGACCCACAATGAAATTGCCTGGTGAGGACGGGCTCTGTATTTTGTAAGGCACGTCTCTCTCCTCCTAAATAATTCCTCGTGTTTTTCGATCTGTTTGGATGGGCATGGCATTACTAAATATTTACATTTTTGGACTCATGCAAAAAACTTTTGGGGATTTTCTGTATGTATGGATGTTGGTGAGTATGGATGGTGGTCACGACTTTGTTTACCCACTTTGAAGCTTAATAACACCTGTTTTAATTCAAAAATTATTGAAATTCTGTAGGGAGATTTGTATATTAGGGGGATTAATGCTATTAAATTTTGGTGGTTAATGGTCGAGAGGATGGGGAAATAAAGAGGATCGTGTGTCTCGAGTAGGGTAGAACTTAACGACGATTTTACTTGTTATTCGCATATACAATTTTATTTTAAATATAAAACTCATTTCTACCCTCAAAATTAAGTTTCTTGGCATTTTATAATAATTAAAAATATAATTTTTTAAAAATTATTCTATCATAATAGATGGCAAATGTTGCCTGGAATTTTAAGCAACTCGTTACTGGATTTTTTTAATTTATTATTTATTATTTAGGTTTCCTTTATTCAGAATTAATTTTACCCCTCTGCGATTGGTGAAATGTGAGGCGAAGCGGTTAGTTAATTAATTTTTAGATTAAAAATAAACTCAATTCTAAGTAATATCAAGATACATATATTTTTTTCAAATTTGAGGAAAATACCCGAACAAAAGCAAGTGATAATAAAAAAATAATAATAATAATTAACCAAAGGAAATAGCTTCTTAATGAGTATTTTGTTAAATTCTTATTAAAAATATTGGTGAATTTCAAGAAAACAAATAATAATTCACATTTTGAAAGTCAAATTAATTAAAAATTTAAGCTGTTTATCAATTATATAAACATTTCAATATATAAGGTAAGTCAAAAGTAACTTAACACTCTTATAAAATCGAAATGGTGCGGTTGGAGAAATTGTGGTTTGATAGAAATACAGTAAGTTATGCCCAGGAATAATCATCTTTATGTGTCTCAACTTGACGATCGCCATCTTGAATTTATCATAAAATGTTTAAATGGGAATTTAGTATCCGAAGAGAGCAGCTCACGTAACATTGCAAATGATTTTAATCGACATAATCCTCGCAGATATACTGTGTCTAATTTGGCGCGATTGCTGGGAAAGTTCTGATATTTGAAGATAAGTCAGAATCTGAGTGTCACAAGGACTTTCTCCAGATATCAAGGTGAACTGGATTTGTTCCACAGGGGTTAGAGACATTGCAGCGTTGTATATCACACCTAGGTAAAGGAGAAATTAATTAGATTCATTTCTTTATTTAGAAAACAAGCGTACCATTACACTTCTCCCGGAATTATAGCTTTATTCCTATCCCCATTTAAATATTATAAGATGGCTGCCGTATGAAACATAAAAATGGTTACCCTAGGCACAATATATTTATATCATGCCAAAATTTCTCCTGCCAACTAAATTCAAATTATAAAAATGTTAAGAGACATTTCATTTACCCAGTATATATACATATAATACAATTATATATAATTAACATTAATATATAAGTAAACCAAAACATTTAAAAAAATATATATATATACATTTATCTTATTCGGATATTTCTTTCCTTCAAATATCTAAACAACTTTTAAAGTAATTTTTAAATTTTTTAAAAATAGAAAATAGTTAAATAGTAATAATATTTGGATAATAAATTTTAAATTAAAGATTACTTTTATAGTTCTATAAACAATTAAAACAATTTATTTTGTACATAATTTACATAAAAATATAGTACTTCAGTCTTTTATAAAGAAAATAAAAGTAAATTTTGCAAAGATATACAACTCATTATTTAAAAGAAAAAATGCAAGAATATCGTGTCTCAATTACAGATGAGAAAGCTTAATACTTTACAGAATTTAAAACATTAATTATAGAAATTATCCGTTTAATAATTTTAAATTTAAAACCGACCAAAAAATTTATTTAAAAATTTAAAACATTAAATTATTAAATTACTAAATAAACAAAGTTTTAATTTCCTTTCTCTAACATGTAATTCGATATCAACTTCCTACAAGAACAAATAAAAAGTAAATGGGCGATAAAAAACGAACAAGGCGACACATAAACCGAGTTATCCAGAGAATGTACAGAAATTTAAGACAACTTGTTAAATGTCTGTATTATCGTCTGCACAACTTTCTCCTGCTCTTTTTCCATGCCATGTTCCAATACGATCTCATAGAAACGGTTGCTTGATCGATCACCTTTGATTGATTCTCGTCACGATCACTCGACCGGATATTTACATCTTCCACCTTATTGCTTTCCAATGTTCGTAATATTAAGTGCACGTTAATCAATTTTTTAAATAATAAACATCGTTAATATCAATAAAACTCAGTAAAAATTTGAATAATTAAGTTTATATTCTTATAGAAAAATGCTGACTAAATAATTAAATACGTCGATCGTACCAACAAAGCGCAGGAAATCTCAACGAGGTAAAAACTTATACAAATTATTTTCGAACAGAAAATTAAAAATAATATTTACACGGATAAAAACAATAATTTGGCGTTGTAAAAATTACTTTTTTCAAAAAACTCTTTCCATTGTTAACTGGAAAATAAAGTAAAATTGCAGCAGATAAAGCGGTGGAGATTGGATGCGGCATTGGTCGTTGTTTGAATTGATAACTCTTAGATCGAGCATATCTTTTAGTTGGTTAGATGACAGCTTATTATGTCTTCGTCAAAAGCAGCTGCCCTGTTGACTGCTCACACACATCTTCACGTGATGACGGTCAGCCTACCAAGCAGGAAATTAAAGAATGTTGACAATGTTCACCCTCCAGTACACAAGTAACAATAATAATACCAAAGCGACATGATAAAGATAACTGAGTTTTTTGTTGAAAATTTACATTGATTTTAAATTACATCTTGATATTTTTACTAAAATAATTGATTCTTGAATAAAAAAGAAAATTTATTAATAAATTCTTAAAATTGTTAAGAAGAAAAACAAAATTTGCATGTTAATTGATTATTTTAGAAAATATCACAGACAGGAGTATAACAAAATTATTTATTTATTTTATTTTAAAATAATTTTGACTGTGTGAAAAATTATAAGATGGAACAAAAGTATCTTATAATAATAAATATGGCTTTATTGTACAATATAAACGTAAGTACAGTATCAATATACAAAAATATAAAACACACTAAATGATGAAAATATCTTAACATAGTTTAATATAAAAATAAATGGAATAAATTGCATAAGTAATAAAGTGTATAAAGATTTTTCGCCGAAAAAATATCACTACTTATGTCTATCGATCACAATCGATTATTCTCGATCAGTGACGAGACAATTTATTAAAACTGCCGTAAATCAAAATAAAACTATATTTAATTATTATATTTTATCAAATGACGATTAAATTTATTCTCTGATTCTTTTAGAAATGTTCAACCTTAAGCCATTTTTGGCTCTCATAATCATTTCTCCCGCTAATTGTAATTTATCCCTATGATCCAAGGATTTAAAGGTAAATTTCTTCAGAAGATTAGCCAAAACAGTTTTCTCTTCTAAAAGTGCGAATCTTTGACCTGAAAAAATTGAACGAGAACCGTTAATAAATCGATAATTGTATAACTTAAAGCTTGTTACAGTACAATTTACAAATTTCGAAACTGTAAAAATGTTATTGAAGTAGCGAATGTTAAATTTTACTAATTAAATATTGTAATTAAGACACTTGCAATTTATATTTTGTCCATTAGTAAATTTGTACGTAAGAGATGAAATTATTGATTTAGTAGTAAATCAAGAATATTTGAATTTATAATATTAAAATTACTATTAATTTAACAGAAAACAGTACAGAATTTATGCTCCGTATTTCTCAATTTAATACAATAATTCCGGAAAAATTTTATTTAAAAATGGGATTAATGGAAATAAAATGACAACACATAAACCATTTGCCAAAATCGGGTTCTATCCGAAAGAATTTTTATAGGAAACTGGTCCCTATTTTGGGGCTAGACACTTGAAGAAAACCCGGAAATCCGCACGTGGTCTGTGTTCAGTCGTTTAATCATTTCGTAATTGATGGATCTTGTTTAAAAATGAAAGAATACATTCTGTTTACACACAATTATCGAATCTACTTGTAAAAATGTATTGGAAATACTAAAATGGCTTTGTTGTATTTCTAAAGGCTTCTTAGACACTTCTAAAATGTTTGAAAGTGCTAAAAAATGGACCTGTTATGGTAACAATTTCATTAAAGATTTTTTAAATTTTAGTGGTTCCTAAGACTGATAACAGGACTTTTGAAAACTACATAATTATAAAAACATTAATAATAAAATCAAATTTTGTAAACAGTTTAAATACTTTACAGGATTTTAATGTTTACGTGAAATTACGTGACTTCCTTCTTTACAGAAAGTTATTATATAGTTAATCGGGGCCTCCTGCCCCTACGCTTTTCAGAACAGGTCTCGACTCATGTATCTAACACCGATCTCAAGATTAAATAACGACAGACAAACAGTGGAAATTTATAGGTCTACAATTTTTTCAAACTGCAGTCCAATATACTCACCGATGCAATTTCTAGATCCAGCTGAGAATGGAACATAAGCATATGGATGTCTGCCTGCAGTGTTTTCTGGTAGGAACCTATCCGGATCGAATTTCTCAGGTTCGGGAAATACTTTTGGATCTCGATGTAACATATAGTTGAAGAGAATACAGGTTGATCCTTTCGGAAGTGTATATCCATCTGAACAAGTTATATCAAGTTAGAAATACGTAAATTCTTTTGGTATTTTAAGCTAGATTTCTCGAACAACTTACCAATAGTGACGTCTTCAGCTAAGTCTCTAGAAATCATTGGAACTGAAGGAAATAATCTCAAAGCCTCCTGTAAAGTGAAATAAATGAGAAAACATGTAACATATTTTAAATATAAAGTGGGTGATCGGTTAACGAACAGATCGGATAACGAACACTTTCGCGAAAGATTTTTATGATCGAACAACGAACACATGTTCAGATAACGAACACTTCACTGAACAAACACAAAAAGAAGCGACGTAAATAACGAATACCGATTGGTCTTTCTTTGTCTCAGGCAACAATTCGAAACTTTTCGGAGCGCGGGAGATGTCGAAAACGACGTTCTACCCAGTATATACTGATTGGATAGTATTCTCCCGAACTTTGAAACTCTCCCTTGTAATTCCAGCCTTTTATATTTCTGACAGAAACAATTCTTTTATGTTTTCTTCTGAAAATGCGGATTTATGCCGATATCTGCTATTAAAGATCTTTTGAAGAAGTGGGAGGATGTCAGAACAACGGTCTTAAAATGGCAT